TAGTGAAGAAATAATTAGAAAATCGTGAAAAAAGAAAAATAACGAAAATAGTGAAAATACAAGTTTAGGGATTCCAAGTGTTGCTGATGATAGGACACTGTAAGCTCCTATAGACCCTATAGTGAAACATAGGGGGGGCTATGGGGCACTACACTATCGGCATTCCTATAAAACTTATAAGCCATCCTAACCAATCCTAACTCATCCAAACCTCTCCTAAAATAGAACCACTTACCTAACCTATAACTACTTATAAGGTCGCACCCAACAAAGTGGCCCGGGCGCCCGGGCGACCCCCGCGGGCACGCCCGTCGGCGAGAGCGGGGGCGAAAATGGAGGAGGAGGAGGAGGGGGGGCAAGTAAGACACGAGCCGGGGCGGGGAGCTAGCGGGCGCAGTGGGATGCAGCAAGCTGGTCTTCCAGTTGATCGGTTCGGGGCGGGGGCTTCGCGTTGCGGGGGCATCCCGGTGGACCTCTCGTCCTCGACCGCCCCGTCGCCTCCGCCCCCGACTGCCCCAGGCACGCCCACCTCCCCCTGGTCCTCTCATCCGCAGCCGTCTCCGACTCCAGAGCGAGGCGCGCCGGCAGCGCGCGCACCCCGGCCCCGCGAGCCGGCCGCGCATCCGCCCCGCGCGCAAGCAGCGCGCCCGCGCCCGCTCGGGCTCATGGGGCCCCTGGTGGGCTCAGTGGCTCCGGACCACAGCCAGGCGCGGCGCCGCGACTACAGCATCATGGCGGTGAACCCGCTCGGCGTCGTCGTCTCGGGGCCCGCGCTGTCGGACGAGCTCCGGAGTGCCGCCCACAACATCCTGTTCACGGTGGTGGACGAGCTGGACAGCTTGGACATCGTCGAGGTGGTCAACCACGACCACGAGGCCGCCCCTTGCATCGCAGCGGCGCGCCTGGCCGCGGGAGCTGGCGAGGACCACGGCCTGCTGGCGCTCGTCGACGGCAAGCGCGGCGCCTGGGGAGCGGGCTCGGGACCGAACGTCAAGGTCCAGCGCCAGGCGGCCAAGCTGGCGCTCGCCCTGGCTCAGTTCCAGGGGCAGCCCATGCCAGGGCTCCGCGAGCTCTGCAAGAACAACAAGGGGCTGCTCGACATGATGCGAACGGTCGACGCGGAGGCGGTCGGCGGGCTCGCCGACGTGGAGGACGCTTCGAGCAGGGGCGACGCGGGCCCTGCGCCGGCACGCGCGGCCGACACGGGCGAGGACGACGTGACCGCTGCGCTGGCGCGAGCGGCCATCCAGGCTGCAGCGCGGCGCCGGAGCAAGGGCGCCCCGGCGGAACGCCCTCGCACCCCGCGCTCCCCGGAGCAGAGGCGCCTCGCCGAGGAGGTTCGCAGGCGCGAGCGGGTCGCCCAGACCCCCTCGCGCACGCGGCGCCGCGGCCGCGAGCGCGTGGCGCGTCCGCGCTCGCGCCCACGCGATCGGACGCGCACAGATGACGCCGTCCTGAAGCCCAAGAGCGGGGGCGCTCCACCGAGGGCCATCGTCGTGAAGAAGGAGGCCGTCCTGAAGCCCAAGAGCGGGGGCGCTCCACCGAGGGCCATCGACGTGAAGAAGGAGGTGGAGGAGCCGGCGGGCCCAGGCGCGGGGGGCAGTCCGCCCCAGCGCCGGCCGCGCTCGAGGGGCCGCCGCAGGCGCAAGGAGGAGCAGCGCCCGAGCGCCCAGCAGCAGCCCAGTGACCAGCACGACGAGGGCGAGGCCATCATCCGCATCGAGCGGGTGCCGCACGAGGTCGACGCCGAGGTGGTCAGGCAGGTGGTGGCCCCCTTCGGAGTCGTCAAGCACATCGCCTTCCCGTACGACCACCGCCACAAGGGGGAGCCCTGCGTGCTCGTGGAGTTCCAGCGCCGCGCGGATGCAGCGCGCGCGGGAATGCACGCGGTCGGGTTACAAGACGGACCCATGCACAGTGGTCGCGGAGTGGGCGAGCCGGCCGCGTGGCCCGGACCCAGGCAGGAGGGCGGCCCGACCGTCCAGCCGCCTGCCTGCCCGACGTGCGCCCGTCGGATGCGCTGGAGCTCCTTCGACCCGGGCGACGGGTGGGGCTGCGAGCTCTGCCCCGCGGGCGGAGCTAGCAGCGGAGCCCTGCGGTGGCACTGCAAGGGGTGCGACGTGAGCTACTGCGATGCCTGCCGCGTCGGCTACGGCAAGCCCAAGGCGCTGGTGGGGAAGGCCCGGCAGAGCGACCACGCCGAGCGGGAGGCGCCGGGCCCCAGCTCCGGCCGCGGGGGGCTTCCCAGCGCGGGAGCGGCGAGCGCGGGCACCGAGGGGGGCCGCCCGCCGGGCGACCTCAGCTGGCCCAAGCGCGAGAGGTCGCCCAGCGTGAGCCTGGCGAGGGGCCCAGCGCGGGCGCACCGTGGCGACCCCCCCCCCGGCCGCGCGCGGCGCAAGACCGGGAAGCGCGCCGGGCAGCTCCGCGCTCCCCGAGGCGGCTGGTACGAGCAGGGGAAGAAGAGGAGGCGTGCTGCGGCTGCCGCAGCCGAGGCCGCCGCCGGCGGGGGGGGGGGCCAGCCTGGCGCGGCAAGGGCTCGGGCGACAAGAGCGGCAAGGGCGCCAAGGGCAAGGGCAAGCACGCCAGCGCGACTGCCAAGGGCGCCAAGGGCCGCGGCAAGGACAACAAGGGCGGCCAAGGCAGCTACTCCAAGGGCGACCAGGGTAGCCGCGTCCCGAGCGAGCGCGCCAGGGGCGGCGCAGGCAGCCGCGCCTCGGGCAGCGCGGGCCGCCGCGAGCGGGGCGGCGACGGCGGCGGCCCCCGCGGCCGCAGCGGTCGCGACGGGGACCGCAGCGGCGGCGAGGGCCGTGGCCGCCAGGGGGACACGCCATCCATCTAGGCGCGGCACCCACCCCACAGGCCAGCGCCCGCAGTTCCGCGGGCTGCGGGCGGCAGGCAGCGGACCGCTGTGAGGCGGACCGCCACGCGGCGCCAGGCCCGTGAGTGAGAGGTTGAGTTTTACGTCGCGTTGCCACGCGGCCCCCTTCTTCCTGCGCCCTGCGCGGGCGGGGCCCCACTTGCGCTCTGCGCCCGGCGCATCTTCGCGCCGTTTCGTTCTTTCTTTGTTTACTTTGCGCGCTTCGCGCACGCGCCGCGCCCGCGCTCTGGGTGCGCGGGGCGCGGAAGGCCTCAGGGATGCAGGCTAGTGGCCGCGCGCGCGAGGCACTCGAGGCCTCGGGTTCCGCCCTCGAGCCTCTGGCTGGGCGTGCCCACGCGCGCTGCTGCGCTCTTTCTCGTGGCCGCGCGGCCGCAGGCGTGCCAGAGCGCGAGCGCGTGGGCCGTCAGGGCCCGCGCGCACGCGCCGGGCGTGGGCCGTCAGGGCCCACGCCTGGGTGGAGGTGCGCGTCGCCACGCTGCCATGAGTGACATATCCTCGCCTCGTCCCTGTCCCCTCTCTCGTCTCCTTCCTCTCCTCCTCCTCCCCCTCCGTTGAGTGCACGCGTATCTCACTTAACTTGTAGAGTCTGATAGGTTTGTAGACTGCAGGTTAAGTGGGAGGGGGTGTGGGCTCAGGTCGCCATTTTGGGTCCGTAGCGTTCGGCTCAGGCCGACGCGCGGGTGCCCACCCACCCCGCTTTGCTCCCTGACGCCTGGGCCGCGCGGCCGCAGGCGTGCCAGAGCGCGAGCGCGTGGGCCGTCAGGGCCCACGCGCACGCGCCGGGCGTGGGCCGTCAGGGCCCTCGCCCGGGTGGAGGTGCGCGTCGCCACGCCGCCATCAGTAAAATATCCTCGCCTCGTCTCTGTCCCCTCACTCGTCTCCTTCCTCTCCTCCTCCTCCCCTTCCGTTGAGTGCACGCGTATTTCACTTAACCCTCCGTCCCCTGGCAGCCGCGCCGGTCATTGGAGAGGCCTCCCTTCCCTGTTCTGGGCCGGCGGCTTTTTGAGAGGGAAGCTTCCGGTTGCATGGTCGTCGCAGGAGTAGCAGGGCCATCGGCAGGTGAGCTAAAGCCGAGCACCCGCTGTTTGGTCCCAGCGTAGTCAATGCTGCCGACTGCAATGTCGTGTGGCAGGCGGGGTGAGACTGGGCCGGCCCGCCGTCCGCTGCCATGCCCTAGCTTCCCGTGTGCCTGCTGGACCCTCGTCGTATTCTTTTTGGGGGCCCGGCCCAGGCTATGGTTCCTGCGCGTGCACGGCGCTGCACGGGCAGGGACAGCCTAGCGTCTGTCAGAGATCCTGCCAGAACGACGCATGTCAGTGGGCTTCTCGGTCGTAGCTGGCCCCGGCTGCAAGGCTCCCATCTCATCAGTGCTCCTTCTGCGTGCCAGAACAGCAGGCGGAGGAGGAATAGGGGGATGCCCGGCGGGCATCGATGCGTACACCACGTCGGTTGGCCGGCCACGGAGCCGAGGAGCTCGGCGAAGGAATTCGGTGTGCTGACGCTCCAGCCTGGCACAGGTTCGAAAGTTGGGGCGTCTGTACGCCGAGCTCATCCTAGCTCCTTGGCCGACCAGACGGCTTGGTGTATGCGTCGAGCCCCTCCCAAATGAAAGAATACCAGCAGCTCGGGCGATGTGGGAATCGGGGCAAGACCCAAGCAAGACTCCAGCGCCCGAGAGGACGAGAGCCGCGCATGCACTGGCTATGCCTGCTGTCCGAGGGCCTGTCTGGGGGGGTAGGGCTGTCAACGGGACGCCCCCCGGCCCGGAACAACCTCCGCAGGGCGCCTGAGGGCGGCCCCCTGTCTCCAGACCTATCGCCCACCAAGGAGGACACGAACCCAGACCCTATGTCATCGGCCGCGGGTATTTTCCCGCGGCATGGGATGTCGCGACGCGCAGAATGACGGGCACGGCGGCTCCGATTCCTCTTGTCGGGGGGAGGAGGTGCCCCCCCAGCGATGAGGTCCAAGATGCCTCCCCGAACTGGCGAATGCAGATGTCTCGAGCGTGGCGCTGCAGAACGGACCTCACCAGCTACTTAGCAGGAGAGCCCTCCCGGGTCCTGGGCTCCTCACGCCGGTGGGGCTTCGCCCAGCCTGGTTCCTCTTCTGGCAGCGGCAGGCCACCGGCAAGACCTTCGAGGCAGTGTCCGTGGCGGGCTACCCCAAGCCGAGGGAGGGCTACGGACAGGCCAGACCGCCCGTGTCCATGCGAGCCCGCCCAGCTCCGCCAGGTGGAAGCCCTTGGGTGGATCCACCAGACTGAAGGCCCAGCGCAAAACCCAGACTCCCTCGTCAAACATCACGAGAACCACGAATCGTGGGCGGGAAAGATGTCCATGTGCACGGCCTCGCGGGCCAGACTCTCCCGCCGCGGCCCCACGTATCCGTGGCGGCGTTGCGCGGATGCCCCCGGCGGCACGCATCCATGGGATCGTGATTTCACGGGATCGCGCCTCGACGTCCAAATTGCGAGGACACAGTTATTGACATGTTCGGCGGTCGGCATCGTGGCTCAGTGCCAATGCCCAGACCACGTCAAACATCACGATGCCCGCGACGAGTGGTTCCTTAGGGCCCTGGGGCCAATAGAAAACGATAGAAAATTACGCTACCGACGAACTGATTTGTAATCTTATGTGTTTGCTTGTCATTATCATCTATGCGCAATCCTGCGTTCTAAACCCTCGTCGCGAATCGTCGCCGTACTTGTCGTACTCGTCGTCGTACTCGTCGTACTCGTCGTCGTACTCGTTGCCGTTCTATCGTCTTACTCGTCATCGTACTCGTCGTCGTACCTCGCCATCGTACTCGTCTTCGCATTCGTCGTCGTGCTTGTCGCACTCGTCGTCGCATAAGACATTCGCGCCAAGCCCGCGGCTCGCGCGCGCGCGCCGGCATGGCGCCTTCGCCAGGAGGCTCGGGCTTCTGCGCCGACGCCAGGGGCACAAGGGGTGCCCAGGGCGAAGGGAGGCGATCGAAGCACGAGCAGCAAGAGGCGGAGGCGGCGCTGCAGAAGCCGACCACACGCCGGGCCGAAGCGCAGGACGAGGCCGCGCAGCCGAGCGACGCAAAGCAGGCTCAGGAGACAGAGGGGGCCAGGCGCGACGAGGGGGCCAGGCGCGACGAGAGGAGCAGGAGCCCAAGGTGGAGCAGAAAGAGACGCACCGGAGGGCGCAACAGGAGAGAGGCAGGACCAGAGAAAGACGAGGAGGCTTGTGGCAGGAGGGGCAAGGGAACGCCCGAGGAGGCACACGAGGCAGAGGAGGCAAGGCGCCGCGAGGAAGACGACAAGGCTGAGGAGGCTGAGGAGGCGGAGGAGGCTGAGGAGGAGAAGGAGGACGAGACGACGAGGAGGCCGCACAGGAACCGCAGAGCCCGCAGAGAGAGGCAGGCCACGGCGGGCCGCTGGCGCGCGCTGCCGCAGGACCCAGGGCCGCCTCCAGGCCTCTGGACAATCGCGCAGCGCAGGCGCAAGAGGAGCGCGCGAGAAGGCCAGGAGAGGCGACGGGAGCAGGAGCTGCAGCAGCGGCTTAGACGGCTTACCAGGCAGAGGCCACCAGCAGCGAGAGGGCCGAAGGGGGCAAGGGAGCCTGGGAAGACAAAGGGAGACGAAGAGGCAGAGGACGAGGAGGCGAGGGAGGAGGAAGAGGCAGAAGAGACACAGCAGCGACGACAGGAGACGCGGCAAGGCGCAGGCGAGAAGGGCAGGGCGCCGCTCGGGCCACCCTCCGCTCGCCGGGGCCCGCGCCGACGCTGCCAGAGGGCCGCGCGGCGGCTGGCGAAGGCAGCCTGGGAGATGGCGCTGGCCGAGCATGGGGCAGTGGTGGCGCGCGAGGAGGCCTTCCAGCAGCGGCAGAGCTTCCTGGCGGACAGGTTCGCGGCGCGCCGGCTGCAGGCCGCGCTCCAGAGGAGGGCGCGGGAGGCTGAAGAGAGCGAGAGGGCGCCGCCACAGCCGCAGCAGACGCCACCGCGGCCGCAACAGCACCGCCAGACGCAGCCGCAGCATGCCCCAACAGCCAAGGCAGCTGAGGAGGCGGAGGAGGCAGCAGAGAGCCACGGGAGGAGCGCACAGCCATGCGAGCAGCACCGCGCCCAGCTCTCGCCCACCGGCTGGCGGACGCGCTACGGCCAGCCACCACAGAGACCACACAGAAGGCCAGAGGCAGACAAAGAAATGGCGCGAGCCAGCCTGCGCGGGGAGCACGTCAGCCCCGGCCTCGCGCCACGAGCAGCAACGCCAGCCCGGAGAGCGGCACCACAGAGACCACCGGCAGAACGACAGGGGCCACCAACGCCACGGCGGCGAGCACCGCGCCGGCCACGACGAGGTGCACCGCGCCGGCGACCAGCAGCACCGCACGGCGCCACAGCCAACGCCCAACGACCAACACCACAACGAGCACAGCGACAGCAGCTAGCCGCAGCGCCACCAGAACCGCTACGACGGCGACCAGCAGCACTACGCACAACAACGCAGACTCAGCCAGCGGCACCACACGGAGCACCCGGCGTACACGGCGAGCACCACCACGACGGCAGCCCAGAGGACGGGGAGGAGACGGCGGCAGCAGCGGAGGAGGAGCAGGAGGAGGCTCAGGAGGCCGAGGAGAAACGCGCCTACGCCGACACCAACGCCAGCGACGACGACAGCACTAACGCCAGACCAGACGCCTGCATGGCCACGACCCCCGACGCCAGCCCGGGCCCCAGCGCCTACGCCTACGCCAGCCCCAACACCGAGGCTGAGGGCGAGGAGGACAAGGAGGCGGCGACGGGGGAGGAGGAGGCTGAGGCGGCCGAGGAGGAATGCGCCTACGCAGGCACTAGCGCCAGCACCTACGCCAGCCCAGACGCCGGCACGGAGGGTCCTTTCGGCGCCAGCTCGGACGCCAGCATCTACGCCTACGCCAGCCCCACGACCAAGGCGGAGGAGGACGCGGAGGACGAGGAGGCGACGACGGCGGCAGCGGACGAGGAAGCTAAGGAGGCTGAGGCGGAAAGCGCCTACGCCGGCACCAACGCCAGCGCATACGCCAGCACCAGCGCCACCTCCGACGCCAGGTCTGCTTCGACCACCGACGACAGCTCGGACGTCAGCCCTGGCGCCAACGCCTGCGCCTACGCCAGCCCCAACGCCGAGGCTCGGAAGGACGAGGAGGTCGAGCAGGCGACGACGGCAGCAGTGGAGGAGGAGGCCGCGGAGGAACGCGCCTACGCCGGCAACTACGCCAGCGCCCACGACAGCACCAACGCCAGCTTCGACGCCAGCACTGCCACGACCGCCGACGCCAGCTCGGACGCCAGCACCAGCGCCAACCTGGAGGAGGACGAGGAGGACGAGGAGGCGAAGACGGAAGCAGCGGTCGAGGAGGCTGCGGAGGCCGAGGAAGAATGCGCCCACACCGGCACCAACGCCAGCGCCTACGCCAGCCCCAACGCCAGCTACGAAGCCAACACCGCCGAGACCTCCGACACCAGGTCGGACGCCAGCGCCTACGCCTACGCCAGCTCCACCGCCAAGGCCCAGGAGGCCGAGAAGTACGGCGCCGGCACCGACGCCAGCGCCTACGCCAGCACTGGCGCCATCTCCGACGCCAGCACCGCCGGGACCTCCGACGCCAGCTCGGACGCCAGCGCCTACGCTTACGCCAGTTCCAACGCCAAAGCACAGGAGGCCGAGAAGTTCGGCGCCTACGCCAGCACCGGCGCCATCCCCGAGGCCAGCACCGCCGGGACCTCCGACGCCAGCTCGGACGCCAGCGCCCACGCCTACGCCAGCTCCAACGCCAAGGGCGCGGAGGACGCGAAGGTAGACGCCCACACCGACACCAACGCCAGCGCCTACGCCAGCCCCAACGCCAACTACGAAGCCAGCACCGCCGGGACCTCCGACGCCAGCTCGGACGCAGACGCCTACGCCTACGCCAGCTCCAGCGCCAAGGCCCAGGAGGCCGAGAAGTATGGCGCCTACGCCGGCACCGACGCCAGCGCCTACGCCAGCACCGGCGCCATCTCCGACGCCAGCACCGCCAGGACTTCCGACGCCAGCTCGGACGCCAGCGCCTACGCCTACGCCAACTCCAACGCCAAGGCCGCGGAGGAGGAGGAGGAGGAGGAGGAGGAGGAGGAGGAGGAGGAGGAGGAAGAGCAGGCAGGACGAGGAGGCGACGACGGCAACAGCGGAGACGGAGGCCCAGGAGGCCGAGAAGTATGGAGCCTGGGCCGGCACCGACGCCAGAGCCTACGCCAGCACCGGCGCCATCTCCGACGCCAGCACCGCCGGGACCTCCGATGCCAGCTCGGACGCCAGCGCCGATGCCTACGCCAGCTCCAACGCCAAGGCCCAGGAGGCCGAGAAGTATGGCGCCTGCGCCGGCACCGACGCCAGCGCCTACGCCAGCTCCGGCGCCATCTCCGACGCCAGCACCGCCGGGACCTCCGACGCCAGCCTGGACGCCAGCGCCTACGCCTACGCCAGCCCCAGCGCCAAGGCTTCGGACGACGCACAGGAGGAGGAGGCGACGTCAGCAGCAGCGGAGGAGAAGGAGGAGGAGAAGGAGGTTCAGGAGGCTGAGGAGGAATGCGCCTGCGCCGGCGCCAACGTCAAAGCCTACGCCAGCACCAGCGCCACCTCCGACGGCAACACTGCCAGGACCTCCGACTCCAGCTCGGACGCCAGCGCCTACACCTACGTCAGCCCCGACGCCAAGGCGGAGGAGGGCGACGACGACGAGGAGGACAACCAGGACGAGGAGGCGACGACGGCAGCAGCAGAGGAGGGTCAGGAGACCGAGGAGGACCGCGCCTCCAACGCCAGCGCCGACGCCAGCACTGCCAGGACCGCAGACGCCAGCTCGGACGCCAACGCCTACGTCGGCCCGAACCCCAAGGAGGAGGAGAATGACGACGAGGCGGACGAGGGAGGCGAGGAGGCGACGGCGGCAGCAGAGCAGCAGCGGCAACACTGCGAACTGGACCTCGGCTTCGACCCGCGGCGCCAAGCGCAGCAGCGCCAACGCAACGAGCAGCAGCACAACGACTACCACGAGCAACTAAGCCCATCCCGCTCACACAGGGACTCGCGCTGGGGGCTGCGGGGCCAAAGGATCGGGGAGGCGAGCCACCCAGGGCCACCCGACGATTGCCCAGGGACGACACCGCGCGGAGACCACCGCAGCACTGGCGGAG